GTCAGTACTGCACTGGTTCTCTCAGGTGGCCATTGTTTATGTTGGGGGGCAGGGGAGGGGAATGGCATCTGTCAGTTCCTTTCTCTTGGAGTGGTTTATCCATAATCTCTGTCTCTTGAGGGCATGCTCTGAGATGAGCAAATCACTCTCCCTCCTTTTTGACCCTCACATTTTTCAAACTGCTGGTTTTTTGTTGTCTCGTTAAGGGCAGAAAGTCTACTCCCCAATGCCCTTGGGGTTCTCCCAGAATGGAGCACACCAATCTTTAAAATATCAGACTTTAAAAAATAAAATGGTTGTAAGAATTCACAATATCTGGCCCCTCTCACTTTCAGAGGCAAATATGGGGATTCATCCTCCCATTGCATGGGCTCCCTGCTATAAAAGTCCTTTTTGCCCTTCTCGGCACCACAGCAGAGGCTCCCTCCCCACCACAGACGGCCATGGTCTACTCTTTCACTCCCAGATCCTGTCTTTACCCTTCCTATCTTCTTCAGTGTAGCTCTCCTCTACCATTTAGTTGTGGAGTTTGTTCTGTGAGTCTTCACGTTGTTGCTTGGGTCATTTACACTGATGTGAGTGTTATCTAGTTGTTTCTGTGGACGAAGAGAGTTTGGGTCCTCCAACTCTGCGATCTTCCCAGTCAACCCCACCGAGGAATGCTTTACCCCCTCCAAGAAGCTGAATTCCTCAAGTCCTCTGTCTCCTTAAACAAGAAAACAAAAAACAAACAAAACAAAAAACAAAACAAAACAAAAAAAAAAACAGAATACACTTAGAGAACATGTAACTGGTGAATGTTTTAGGTAATAAGACAAAGGCTGCTCATTATAATAATTACCTCAGTGACCAAGTTTCCTGGAAAGCAAAACGAAGTCACCTGAGAAATATTCCCTAAAACTTGCCGTGGAACACTAAGTGTTCTTTTGTTTCTGGGTTCCTATGGAATTGGTTTCCCTTATCTCTTCTGAAGTGACTATAGTCTTGGGTGCTAGGGAGCGAACTACACTGACCTTCTGGGACCCTTTGTCATCGTATACTGTGCCAGGTAATACGTGTCTTTCTTACTGAATTTTCAAGGATTTTTAACACAGTCTTTAAACTACTAGCTTGAATTAAAGAAAAATCTGAGCTTTTAGGGACTATTATATTTTCATAAACCATACAAATTCATCATATTTTTACTGTCTTTCCTCAGTTTGTGCAGCAAATAGAATGCAAAATTTGCCCTTAATCTTGACAAGAACAGATATCAATTGAAAATATTATTTATGTCATCCTTCCTTTTGAAAGGAAAATAGACTATTATTTTGAAAATAAAAGCATCAAATGTCAGTTCTAATGGAATCAGATGCCAAGTTTCAGCTAATATTTGACATCAAGAAGCATTTTTACCAGAATTTTGAGAGCTAATTTTAATATGTTGGTGTTTTTAATATTCTAGCAAATATATACGCTCAAAGATTTGTCAGTGCTTTACATCTAGACACCTCTTCAGTCTTTAGTTTCAGAATTGGAACATTTCCTGAATAAGTGATCTTTCTCTAATCTGTGATTCATAATTTCCATCCCAGGAGAGGTGTTCTAAATTCATGATCAGTGTCCCAAATACACATGCATATTTAGTGAGAAGCAGAGCAACCTCGAAGGAGGAATGGGAGACTCTGGAGATTAGCATTTTGCAGGCTGTGGCTGAACCACGTCCACCAGCTGTTCAGCAGCCCCAGGGCTGCATCTCCGGGGAGCAGGGACTACCACCACCTCCCTCAACAATTCCACTATTCTCTGCCTCGGCATCGCAAAATAGGCCTGAGAAGAATGCTTAAAAACTGGACATATAATTCAGCACCTAAGTCCCAAATATTATAGGATCAATTTTCACTCACTTAGTCCAACAGAGAGCCATGATATAAATGATTCTTTTGAGAGTTTCTTCTCTAGATTATAAACTTTGAAGCCAAACACATGTCTCTTTCAAATGATTTCTCCACAGCCTGGCACATAAGAGTGTAGGAATTTAGGAAGTATTCATTCTCCCAAATATGCCCCGGTACCTCGTGTAAGTCTTGGGAGACCTACCACCTCCCTCATGTACTCAATGCCTTCACAGAACACCGTCCTCACTCCTCCAGGCAGGCCAGAGACTCTTTGCTCTTTTCTGCACCTGCTTAGGTATCCACAAGGATTTCCTTTTACAGTGGATTATCTTCTTGCCTTCTCATCTATCCACGTTGCTCAGTCGATTTGGGCCTGTCAATGTTCTGGTAAAATATGAAGATAGAGGACTTAATCTATCTTCTGTCCTTTGGACTTGTTCCCTGCAAGTCAAGCCAAGGAAGGGATTTAGCAATCCCTGAGCACACTCTCATCTCTGCAGAAACATTCTGTGCTCTTCTGCTTATAGCTTCTAGAATCTTTGTGATGCTGTGGCCACCGGCCAAATGTCAGCAAAGTATAAAGAAAAAATAATTGCATAATCTACAAATTCTTCAGGATATGTGTAAGATATGCATAATAAGCAGATGCTTATCAAGTGCCTCCTATGTGCCAGACTATTACAATTTCTTGTCCTGGATAGAATTTAAAAAAAAAAAACCTGAATTCTTTAAAGTTCTTAGCTGTCAAGCGTTTGATAGAAGAGGCTATACAAGTTAAAATTGAATTGGCACCGTTGACAAGTTGCCCTAGAGTGAGCCCTGCTTTCCAGAGTGGTTTAATTCAGATAGAGGATTTGACAATCCAGGGGGCACTACTCAGCTCTAGCCCAACATCAAACTTACTATGCTGAGGCTGTTGCAGCCTCTCCAGGCTGCAGGAGGGAGCCCTGCAGCTGATACTGGGTACAAGTATCAGGAGTTTCTGGGAACGCAGAAATGTGGAATGTTGATAGCCAAGAGTTGCTGGGGGTTCCCCTGGGGGACTTGCAGAGCATTTCCCGTCCTCTCTCTCCTTGTTCTCATGTTAGCATCCACACCCTTTCCACCACCCCACCACCACCACCACCACAAAGGGAATTGGTAAACAGCCATGCACAAGGACCCCACACGCTTTTATAAACATATGAGTTCAGGGGCAGGGCAAGATCTATCTTCTTTGAACAGCCCCTCATGTGACGCACAAGAGCACACAGTAGCCCCATCCCAAGCCATCTCCCATCCTCCCTTGTGGTCAGAAAAAAAAATCATCCACAGTCCTCTCTCATGGGAGGACCAGCAGCAGCAGATTCATTAGGCGGAACGATGTGAGAGGGATCGTTTTGCTCAATTCTCAGCTGAAAGATGAGACTTTTCTGATGTTAATCTGCTCAATAGGGACTTCTGAAAATATAGCAAAACCTTCAAGTGATACTTAGTGTGTCTTGGCTTAAGCTGGAGACCGAGCTGACAGCTATGGCTCCAGCGCAGAATGTTTCTGGAAGCCCCTCACCAAACGACTACAGAAAGTACCAGACATGCCTGGATGACGTCACTGGCACCCATAGGAGAGAAAGCATCTTGAAATGAAGCCAGATACAATCTTTACATCCATATAGTTATGAAATGTTCCCAGCTAATGAGAGAACCAAGTCCCCCAGGACCCTACAATTTGAGTACTGTTGGCACAGAATGTGGACATAAGCTCTTGACAATGTTTAAAAAGAAAAGAAAAATAACAAGGCAGGAAAAAAATTTAAAGCTGCAAGAACTCAGAAGACTCCAGGTTTTAGTAAACTCAGGATAGGGAAGTGGGACATGAGATCAAGCTGCAGAATAAACAACTAACCCAAACAATCCATTAAGTAGAAATTAGAAAGTGGGGGGAAATCCCAGAAGTGAAAAAAGAGAGCTAGCACTAAATATATGACACGAAATATTTGGGAGGAAAAGTACATTTTTTCCTGAAAAACTTTTGTACGTTACCCTCAAATAAAAGCTCTTATTTATAGTTTGCTTTCTAAATATAACAAACTCGTTACTTTCTGACCAAGCAAATTGTTAATCACAATCCAGCTAAGCTAGACCAGGGGTTGGCAAACTGCTCCTGAAAAGGGCTACGCAGTAAATATTTTAGGTTTTATGGGCATACGGTGTTTTTATCAACTACACAATTCTATTATGGCACAGTAGCAGCCATAGATATTTGTACACAAGTGGCATGGCTATGTTCCAATAAAACTTTATTTTTTTTTAAGATTTTATTTATTTATTTGAGAGAGAGAGAGAGAGAGAGAGAGAGAGCGAGCAAATCAGGGCGAGAGGCAGACAGAGGGAGGTGGAGAAGCAAGGTCCCCGAAGAGCAAGGACCTTGATGCAGGACCCAATCCCAGGATCCCGGGACCATGACCTTCACCAACTGAGCCACCCAGGCACCCTGTTAATAAAATGTTATTTACAAAATCAGATAACAGACTGGTTTGTGGCCCGTGGCCTATATTGTTACCAGACCCTTGACGTAGGCAAATAAAATAATTCAGACCTGTACAAATATCACCAAAAGTACTTTATATATTTAAATTTTTACAATATTCAGATCTGTCGAAATGGCCTCACTCTCTCCCTTTTTTCATGTGAGTGTAGTTGACACAACGTTACATTAGTTTCAGGCATACAACACAGTGATTGGATGCGTTTATACATTAGGCTGTGCTCACCACCTGTACAGTTAGGATCTGCCACCATACAATGCTATTATAGTAGCAGTAATTGTGTTCATTATGCTGTGCCTTTTATTCCTGTGAATTATTCATTCCATAACTGGAAGCCTCCATCTCCTACTCCCCTAAACTCCTTTGTGCCCATCCTCCCACCCACCTCCTTCTGGTAACCATTAGTTTGTTCTCTGTATTTATAGGTCCGATTCTGCTTTTCGTGTTTATTTAATTTGTTTTAGATCCAACTATGCCTGGGATCATAGGGGTATTTGTCTTTCTCAAGGGTGATTTATTACAATTAGCATAATACCCTCTTAGGTGCATCCAGTTGTCACTAAAAGCACAATCTCAATCTCTTTTTTTTTTTTTTTAAGGGAAAGTGCACACACAGTCCCCCATTACCATGAATTATGCAGTCAAGTTTCCTACACTTTGGGAAATCTCAGGGGTCGGCACATCTGGAGTGCAATGGATAAGCCTCATCCTGGGAAAGCCACTTTGTGATCAGAGTATCTCCCCTGCCAGGTACATCTCATCCTTTTTTTTTTTTTAATGGCAACATCCCATTGCATATATATATATATATATACATCTTCCTTATCCAATCATCGATCAGGGCACACTGAAGTTTCTTCCATATTTTGGCTATTGTAAATAATACTGCAATAAACATAGGGGTGCATGTAACCTTTACTTTTTGTTTCCATTTCATGGTAAATATTTTTCCATCCTTTCACATTTAGCCTGTATGTGTCTTTAGGTCTGAAGTGAGTCTCCTCTAGGCAGCATAGAGATGAACCATATATTTTTACCCATCCACCACCCTATGTCATTTGGGTGGAGCATGTAGACCACTTACATCTAAAGTAATTATTTATAGGTGTGTACTTATTCCCATTTTACCTTTTTTTCTGGTGGCTTTTGTAGTTCTTTTCTGTTCCTTTATTCTTCTCTTGCTCTCTTTCCTTGAGTTGGATGTATTCCTGTAGTGTTATGTTTGGCTATTTTTTTCTTTATTTTTTTTTATATCCATTGTAAGTTTTGGTTTTGTGGTTACCATATAGAACATCCTAAGTAAATAGCAGTCTATATTAGGTTAATGGTCATTGGTCATTTAAGTGAAAACATATTCTAAGAAAGAAAAAGAAAAAAAACTTCCATTTTTTTTTACCACCTCATCTACATTTTATGCGTGTGCTGTCACATTTTATCTTTTTATTCATTATTTGCTTACATCTAATTATGACCATTTCTTTTTACTTATAGAAGTCTATTTAACATTTCTTGTAAGGCTGGCTTAGTGGCCATTATCTCCTTTAACTTTTGTTTATCTGGGAAATTATCTCTCTTTCAAATCTGAATGATAGGGATCCCTGGGTGGCGCAGCGGTTTGGCGCCTGTCTTTGGCCCAGGGCGCGATCCTGGAGACCCCGGATCGAATCCCACGTCGGGCTCCCGGTGCATGGAGCCTGCTTCTCCCTCTGCCTGTGTCTCTGCCTCTCTCTCTCTCTCTGTGTGACTATCATAAATAAATAAAAAAAATTTAAAAAAAAAAAAACATCTTATTAAAAAAAAAAAAAAAAACAAATCTGAATGATAGTCTTGCTGGGTATTCTTGGTGGTGGGTTGGTTGCTTTCAGCACTTTGAGTATATCCTGCCACTCTAGTCTGACTTTCAAAGTTTCTGCTGAAAAATCAGCTAATGACCTTATAAGTTTTGCCGTGTAAGTAACTTTTTGCTTCTTTACTGCTGCTTTTAATTTTCTCTCTTTACCTTTAACCTTTAACATTATGTGCCATATAACAAATTTTTTACCTCTTTCTATCTTCTTCTGGGACTTCTACGCGTCAATGTTTGATGTCCAAGAGATCTATTTTCATTTTTAACAATTTTCTCTTTTTGCTCTTCAGCTATGTGATTTCCATTACCTCGTCTTCCAGATCACTGATACATTCTTCTGCATCCTCTAATCTATTGTTGGTTCCCTCTACTGTTTTGTTTTGTTTTTTTAATTTCAGTTATTGTATTCTTCAACTCTGATTGGTTCTTTTTAGCACTTTCTATCTCTTTATTGAAGGTCTCACTGAGTTCCTCCACTCTTCTTTCCAGCCCACTGACTATCTTTAAATTCTCATTGGGCATATTGCTTATCTCCATTTCATTTATTTTTCTGAAGTCTTTTCTTATTCTTTCCTTTGGAGTATAGATCTCTGTCACATTTTGTCTTTTTTTTTCTGCAGATTAGGCAAAACACAAAAATTCTCTAAATTTAAAAGAATGGTCTTGTATTTGGTCATCCCCTATATAGACTGTGTGTGTTTGGTGACTTTTCCTGACTAGTGTGGGCTGCAGATCTTGAGCCTTTCCACGCAATGGGCACCATGTCAGGGAAGCTAAAGCTGAAGTCAATGCAGGCTAGGGTGCCCTAAAGTTCCTTGTGCTGAGTGTACCTTAGCAGAGCAGGTGAAGCTGAAATAGGCACAAGTTGAGGTGTCCCAGGGTGCTCTGTGGAAGAGGTGCCTTGGTAGGGTAGCTGAAACTGAAGCAGTGTGTGATCTGGGAGGTCTCTGAGCTCTTGGTACAGAGGGTTCCCTAGCAGTATAGCTGAACTGAAAGTGGGTGCTACCTGGGGGGACCTGGTGCTCTGCAGACAGAGGGTGCCTTGTTATGATAGCTGAAGTAGAGATAAACTGGAGTATTTCAGGACTCTCCACACAGAGGGTGCCCTTAAATGGTGACTGGAGCCAACATGGGAATAAGACAGGAGGTCCTGGGGCACTCTGTGCAGGGCAGGTACCTGGGAAGGACAGCTAAAGCTAAAATGGGCACAGTCTGGTATGAACTGTGGGCTCTCCACATAAAATGTGCCCTGGCAGGACACTGAAATGCTTACTAGCCAGGTTTTCTGAGGTTCTCCCTTCTGAGAGTGACCTGGAGGGACAGCTAAAGCTGCATTAGGTGCAAACCATGGCATCCTAATGTGCTCAGTGCAGGAGTAGCCTGCCAGGGTGGCTAAAACTGATGTAAGTATGGGCCTGGGGTACCTGATGTCACACAGGGTACACCCAGGCAGGGAAGCTGGACCCAAAACATGTCAGCTGGGAGGTTCCAGAGTGCTCTGCACCAGGGGTACCTTAGCAAGCCACCTGAAGCCTGGAGTGTCCCATTGTGCTTTGCACCTGTGTCACCTTGGCCCATCGGCTAGGGCTGTAGTGAGTACTAATCAAGGTTGTCGTGGTGGGCACCACTCTGTGGCCACCTTGATAGGATGACTGGGACTGGTGTGGGCTAGGGGTCTAGGGCTCACTGAGGCGACGGGCCAGTTAGGATACCCAGACTGTGTACAGTGGTCTCTGCTTTCAAGGTGAAGGAGGGTGGGGAACACAGACCATGCCAATCGGCCCCTCCTGCCCAGAGAGCATTTCAGCAGCTCCTCTACTCTTTGGCAGAGTTCTAGGGTGGACTCTTTTATGTTAGTTGTTCTTTTGAACCATGACCTTTAAAAGACAAAACAAAACAAAAGTGGGGGTTTTGTAATGTTTTCCTGTGCAACAGCATGACTGGGGCCAGTGTGGGCTTATGGACCCAGAACTCAATGAAGCAACCAGCTGATTATGGCATCTGGACCTGCCTTGGGCTTTTAAGATGGAGGAGGAATGTAAACGCTTCTCCAGTCTCTCTGACCCAGAATGTGTTCCTGCAGCAACTCCACCATTCGGCAGAGATCAAGTGCTGGCTCTCTTGTATGCTAGTCGCTCTTTTGAACCATGGTTGTTTTTCTGTGCCCAAGGACAGAGGACTCTGTTCCCCATACTTCAGTATTACCCCCTACCTACTGCCATTCACAGTGATATCTGTCACCCATTTTGTGGTCCTTAAGCCGAGAGACCAGCGAGTAAGACAAAAGAGTCACCATCCTGGTAGACTATCATTGTCAAGAAGAGATAGAGCTGCTGCTGCACAGTAGGGCCACATGCCCGACCAGGTAATTCACTGAAGTATGTCTGAGTACTCTTTGCCCTGCATTAACAGTAAATGGACGAATACAGCAGTCGTGGCATGAGACAGGCGTGGTGGCCAGAGGCTTACACCTCTATGGGGATAAAAGTCTGTGTCACTTTACCAGGTAAGCCATCTAGACCAGATGAGGTGCTAGCCAAACAAGGTTGAGGAGAATAGGTAGGGGAGGTCAAGAGTATCAGGACAGCCCAAAACTAGCTGCAGGAGATTAGGTTCTTGTGAGTCTCCACCCCTTCTAAATTTTCTTAGAGAAAGAGACCGACCAGGATCATAGAGGAGTGGTTCCCAGATGAGCAGCCCAAGTGGTAGCTTTAGTGGACACTGTAGTATGCCACCCACACTCTCCCTTCAGAACCAATGCTCAGATGGATCACCGCTGAGCTCAGGAATTACGGTCAATTCAAGACTAGTGCTCTTACCCAAGATTACAACCCTTCTTTGAGGGGTTGCACAAACATTTACACTCAGAGTCCTTTCCCAGGGAACCCACCATAAGTCAGCAAGAATCACATCATTATGAGGAGTCAACAAGCTAAATTAGTGAAAGAACTGTGCGATCTGTAAGGTGCAGCATACATTTAACATGGCATTATAATAGTAATTAGTGCCATTCGTACTTCTCAGTCTCAGGATGTCTTCACCAAAGAGAGGTTAGTGGTCTTACCATGCTTGTCTTCAACGAAGAAAAATTTAACATAATATTAGTGAGTACCTTGTGGCGTAATATTCTGAACTTGGTCTCTAGAGCTAAACCTTTATCTCTTTTATTATATTTTATTGAATGAAGGTCCTAGGGGTCGTAGACTATGACATAATGCTTTTTATCCATGAAACATTTTATGTTAAAATTAATAAAAGAACTAATTTAAATTTAATTAGCCAGAGATTTTTGTCATAGATCACTTTTTTTTTCCAGACTCTATCATCCAGTGACCATCAGTCTGTTGAGAGCATGCACAGTGTAGCATTTCATGGGAAAATTCACAGAGAACAAGAGACACAGGCTTTACAGTTCTGTAGAGATAGGCTACTTTAACTCCAACTTTAGGAATGATGCTAAATCAGTCTGATGTACCACCTCTCTCACCGTCTCCACAACTATTTGCTTCTTAGGGGTTAAAAATCCCACTGCTGCCTCTGGAATTTTCTTCCCTAAATTTGGCACGTGTTCTGCAGGTTTTCATCCTGACAGTGATGTTTATGATCAAACAGACAATGACAACTGTCATGACGGCTCACTGGCTAGAACAATCATAATTGCTCTATCAATTTGAAGATGCAGCATGATGTCTGAGAAAATGTAAGATCATGTTTGTCTGAGAATCATTGAAATGGAATAATCTCTCTAAAGCTGCTCCTTTATATGATACGATCATGGTATCCACCTCATATGGATGTTGTAAGGGCTAAATAAGACCGTCCAGAGGAAGTGGTTAGCATGTCTGGCATATAGTGAGCATTTAATAAATGATATTTACTATTAATCGTTATGATTCTTAGTTAACCACACCT